TGGTAGCTTCCTCTCCGACGCCAAAGCCGCCGGAGCCCTGATCTTCTCTCTCTCTCTCTCTCTATATATATATATACATATATATAGCTATTTATGTGTATGAATGATGACAGAGAGGAGAAGAAGACAGAGAGGTTCTGGGTTTGGATTTGAATTCGAAGGATAAATTAATATGATTTTTTTTAGATTCATAGCACAAAGAACAAAGCTTGATGCATATACAACTATATGTGAAGAGAGAGGCTGTGTATGATTTTTTTTTTTTTTTCAGATTCATAGCACAAGCTTGATGGGTATACAACTATATATGAAGATAGAGATTGGGGCAAGAAACTTTCATGGTGAGAGTGAAAACAAAGACAGATCAAAATTGAATTTTGATTCTCTCCATTTTGGGTTTATATGATCTCTCTCTCTCTCTCTCTCTCTCTCTTCATGTGATGGGCTGAAGAACTTATGTTGGTGAAAGAGAAAGAAGAAGCTGAAGAAAAGCTTCAATTTTGTGGTGGGTTTGATAGTTTTTTGAGAGAGAAAATGGGTTTGCTTCCATTTTGGGTTTGTATGATCTCTCTCTCTCTTTATCTCTTCATGTGATGGGTTGAAGAAATTATGTTGGTGAAAGAGGAAGAAGAAGACGAAGCTGAGGAAAAGCTTCAATTTTGTGGTGGATTTGATAGTTTTTAGAGAGAGAAAGTGGGTTTGTTTCAATTTTGTGGTGAGTTTGGTAATTTTTAGAGAGAGAAAATAGAGAAAAAAGATAAGGAGGCTTGCTAGAGTGTGTTCTCAAATGTTGAGAGAAAAGAGAGGAACGAAGCAAGATGGAAAAAAAAAAAAAAAATTGAAAACGACGCCAGTTTTCATATTCGGGCCATTCGGAGTAATCAAATTTCGAGCTACCTAGCAGAATCAAAAATAAAGTGAATGGCGATATACTTCCAACTCTGATTTCATATGATGACCATGGAATTACACAACAATTGAGGTATAATCAAGCGACTTTACTTTGATCCCATTAGCAATAATGATTTTATTCATTCAATCAAATATCTTCATTTCAAATGATTGGTTTTGGATGAATTAAATGGCAAAGAGTATAAAAGCAGACTCAAAGAAGGTTTAGATGTCCATATCATGATGATACAAAAACTCTTTGACATTTAAACATAATTTACATATAAAATTAAGGTTAAATTATAAATACATTTCTTAAAATTTATTGTAGTAGGTGAGTGTAGTAGGTGAGTGTGTGGTAGGTGATGGTAAGTGTGTGGTAGGTGATGGTAAATTATACAATGTACATTAACATATATATAGCTATTTATGTGTATGAATGATGACAGAGAGGAGAAGAAGACAGAGAGGTTCTGGGTTTGGATTTGAATTCGAAGGATAAATTAATATGATTTTTTTTAGATTCATAGCACAAAGAACAAAGCTTGATGCATATACAACTATATGTGAAGAGAGAGGCTGTGTATGATTTTTTTTTTTCTTCAGATTCATAGCACAAGCTTGATGGGTATACAACTATATATGAAGATAGAGATTGGGGCAAGAAACTTTCATGGTGAGAGTGAAAACAAAGACAGATCAAAATTGAATTTTGATTCTCTCCATTTTGGGTTTATATGATCTCTCTCTCTCTCTCTCTCTCTCTCTTCATGTGATGGGCTGAAGAACTTATGTTGGTGAAAGAGAAAGAAGAAGCTGAAGAAAAGCTTCAATTTTGTGGTGGGTTTGATAGTTTTTTGAGAGAGAAAATGGGTTTGCTTCCATTTTGGGTTTGTATGATCTCTCTCTCTCTTTATCTCTTCATGTGATGGGTTGAAGAAATTATGTTGGTGAAAGAGGAAGAAGAAGACGAAGCTGAGGAAAAGCTTCAATTTTGTGGTGGATTTGATAGTTTTTAGAGAGAGAAAGTGGGTTTGTTTCAATTTTGTGGTGAGTTTGGTAATTTTTAGAGAGAGAAAATAGAGAAAAAAGATAAGGAGGCTTGCTAGAGTGTGTTCTCAAATGTTGAGAGAAAAGAGAGGAACGAAGCAAGATGGAAAAAAAAAAAAAAAATTGAAAACGACGCCAGTTTTCATATTCGGGCCATTCGGAGTAATCAAATTTCGAGCTACCTAGCAGAATCAAAAATAAAGTGAATGGCGATATACTTCCAACTCTGATTTCATATGATGACCATGGAATTACACAACAATTGAGGTATAATCAAGCGACTTTACTTTGATCCCATTAGCAATAATGATTATATTCATTCAATCAGAATATCTTCATTTCAAATGATTGGTTTTTGATGAATTAAATGGCAAAGAGTATAAAAGCAGACTCAAAGAAGGTTTAGATGTCCATATCATGATGATACAAAAACTCTTTGACATTTAAACATAATTTACATATAAAATTAAGGTTAAATTATAAATACATTTCTTAAAATTTATTTAAAATGCGAATTGTCTTATGTGATTTGCAAAAATTACAAATATCCTAGTGTTTGAATTTTTTATTTAACATAATTAATTGAAAAAAATAAAATTTCTAATTACTCTCCCATATAATAATAAAATTATCTGAATTATTAATTGAAATAAATTTCTAACATCATTAACGGTTGTTAATTGACTTGATGATTTATTAATAAAATGAGTTATTTGTTATGAAATTTGAAATTTCAAGGAGTAGATATAATTTTTAAAATTATAAATAACAATTTGTATTTGAAGCAAATCTTAAAAGATATATTTATAATTTACTGTAAAATTAATCATAGAACTAACAATGTTTGTACTTATTCGATGATTAATTTTGTGATTAGTTAGTTATATTAATTCCAATAATTTCGAATGTAATGCTCTTGGTCCATGATATATAGCAGTCAATTGGGCATATGGCTAGCCTGGGTGGGACACCTTGGGACAGATAAGTCTAATTGGTCCTCTTCGGAGGCATTACACCTCCCTTCAAAACTTGATTGATAAGGGTCTTTGCTCCAATCAATATACAAGTTGTCACATTAATTTCGTCCTCTCCACTTTGGCAGCACAACTCAATTCCATAAATATGCATTAAGGTGTCAATGGCAGGTAGGGATGTGCAATGCGAATTGAGTGGTTTTAGAGTAAAAATTATAAATTAAATGGTAGATTAATGGATAATTAAATCATGGTTCAAATGGATTGACGGATTAAAGAATATTTTTGACTAATTATCAAGTATTTTTATAATATATAATACTAATTTGTATAATATTTTTCATATATATAATACAAACTAATTTTATATAATATTTTTCACATATATAATTATTAATTTGTAATAAATTTTATAACTTAAATCTCTCTTACACTCATTTTTATTTTGATATTTGATTAGAGATAAAAATATATATATATATATATATATATATATATATTAATTATAGCGGAGTGGAGCAGTTTTGAAAACGGTTTATAAATTTTAAAATTTAATCCGCGAGTAACAAATAGAATGGTACGAATCGGTACAATTTTAGCAAATTAAACGATATTTTGCACAATTCTAATAACAGGTATGAGATTTGAAGTTTCTTTTAGGAGGTGAATTCTCTAATTGGGAATGTCCATTTTCTCTCATCCCGGTTCGTCCTTGCACTTCCTGTCTAGTTCTAAATGAGTTTTCTCTACCTCAATGAGAAAGTGGAGTAGGAATGACTTTTGCTTCTCCCATCTCATTCTAATCCACTCCTGCTCTATTTATATTTACTAAATATATTACATAAAAAAAAATTGCTTATTTATTTTTTTAATATGATAAAATTAAAACCCAAAATATTACATTTAGTATCCATTTTTTACTCATTTACATATACTTATTATCTTACATCTTTTAGCTTTTATTAATTATAATTTTTTTTAGATAGTTTCACTAATTATAAACTATTATCCATAATATGCTATATTATCTATAATTTTTATTAGTATTTATATTTTTTAAATTTTAAAATTAATTCAGTCCTCCCCCGACACCAACCCCATGTGCTCGGCCCCTGATAGGATACGGGGTAGAGGGTAGGGGATTGCAAACCTGCCCAAACCCGACCCCGTGTTCATCTCCAATCTTAGAGAACACTGTTTGGGCATGTGGGGTTCACCATAAGTCTCGTTTTAATGATCGAAACTGTTCATCTTTTCAGACATTTTGTGTATATTATTTAAAAAAAAAAAAAATTAAGTTGATCTAATAATCGTAGTCTATTCAATTTATAATATTTGTCACCAAAAAAATAAATAACAATTGTATTTTAAAAACTAGACCATTCATTTTTTTTTTTTTTAACAAACGTGACAAATTGAATAAGTTACAATTATCATATCGACCTAATTTTTTATATAAATGATATACATGAAGTGCCCAATAAAACAAATGTTTTGAATCATTGAAAAGAGACCTATAATGGGGACGCCATAGGCCCGAACAATGTCCTTTAGACTAGATTGTGAACGAGAGTGAATCCACCTCTTTTGTTTTATACTTATAATTTAAAATGCAAAATAACATACAAACCCACTTTATAGAATCATTTTATTAACCTAATGATGTAAAATAGAGATGATTGGTTAATAGTTGGGGAACATATGAGAGAGATAATTATCTTAAATATTATAATAGATTGCCACATTATTGTGTTTAAAAAATAAATCTTACTTTTGAATTAAAGGAGCACTACTCATTTGAAATAGCCAACCTAATCCACCTTTGGCTATCTCAAAAAAAATAAAAATAAAAATAAAAATTGACCTTTAAAATAAACCCAAGGGATTGGCCTACTGAGTACAATTTTGAATTTGGAAATATGCTCCCTCTAGGTCTCCCACTCAACTTTTACTAAGTGCTATCAACTTCTTAAAGCCCCATCACGACCCAAACCCGCCCCTGTAAATTTAACGTCGTAACCGGTCAATAATCTTGGGATTACCGAAGGCCTCTGAGCAGATTAAACAAAATTAAGAGACTAGCGGAAACAAATATCAGAATATAATGTCCATTAAGTTGTATAGACATACATGGGACAAAAAACTTAAAACTTATAAACATATATATGACGTCATATTCATGTTAGTCTTACGTCACTAATACAGATACAGTCAAAGGGACTTAGCCCTAAATACAGAGTGTGCAAAAATTGTTTAGACAAATAGAAGAAGACAAAAACTTAGAAACTTCTTTGCAAAAACATGACCACACCTTAACTTGGGAACCTCCTCGGGAGGCGAAATGGTTGGTTGACAAAACAGATCTCCAGGCAATCATCACTGAGCTTGGTCACACGCCTGATCACCTACATGCATAAATAATATAGTGAGCTGGAGCCCAGTTAATAATAATAGAGTAAAGGTTTTAATGAATGATGTCCATAACAGATTCAGAAATTAGAGTTCAGAATCAGAAACATATTCATATTCATATTTAAAATTCAGAATTCACAGATAATCATACGTGGTACATCCATTAGTGCTAACAAAACAGATGACCCATAATTACATGGGACGTACAGATGACCCATGATCACATGGGACAATCAGATACAGAGCAGATAATGGCTTTTCTTAACCAGTTCCATGATAGAACCTTTGGTACTAGGTAACAAATAACAGATATCACATGAAGCTAAGGATGCCATGATTACATTTTAGGAATTCGAACAATCAATCTCTCATAGTATTTCAAAAAATGATTAAAGTTGAACATACCTTTACAGAGTTATTACTCACAGATAGCTCCAGTAACAGAATAGTCTGAACAGACGGATCAAACAGTCTATGGCGCGTGACCTACACAAACACATAGTGAATACACATTGAAACACACGCTCGAAAAATACTTAACTCATTTCTTTTCTATCTTGGTGTGTTTCTAATCCTTATTCTCATTATTATGTATTAATGAATGCTTAGGAATGCCTAAGATGCAATGAGGATGTCAAAATGCACTTAAAAACACTTTGCAAAATTTCCAGAAACATGATAGTTCACTCGAGCACAACTTTGGTCGCTCAAGCAGACCCCTTGGTCTGCAAAACCTTTGAGAGCTCTCATTTTACGCTCGAGCAAAGAGCTTTGTCACTCAAGCCATGATAGAAAACAAAGGGTGGTCGCTTGAGCGCAGGTTCTATTGCTTGAGCCAAGGCTCATGTCTGCAAAAGTACTAGAAGCTCGAATTTTACGCTCGAGCCAACTTTTGGTTGCTCGAGCAAGTGCAAAACAAAGGGTGGTCGCTCGAGCACAACTTTGATTGCTCGAGCGATGATGCAAAATTTTGAAATTTTCAGATTGCTGTTCAAGATGCAAAACTCAAATTCAAAGCTTTAAAACACATCATTTGGGCCCAAAACTTGAGAAAATACTTGTAAACTTATGAAGCATCATAAATCAAGGATCATTTCACAAAATCAAGGCCCAAAAGCATGCTAATTATTCAAAATCAAACTTGAAACTTGAAAACACAACATGCATGAGTTGATATGAACTCCAACCTTCCCAAACATGATCAAATAAGGTAGAATGACATGAAATGTGATGAATTCTCAGAACAAAGCTAAAATAATCACATGCATATGAGAATTCTTGGAAATCAAATTCAAATTGTCACGACATGAGCATGCATGCATGATATGCTCTTCTTCCTTTCTTCCTAAGTTCAATTCTCTTGCTTGACCTCAAACTTCCTGAATTACATAATTGATGACTGAAATATAGAAGGTAGGAGTTGATTACTCACCTAGAGCCTTGGATTAGCAAGAATTCTAATTGCTCTTCTCAATTGTTCAGATCTCTAGCTTTATTCCAAGTCAAATCTCCAATCTCCTACAAATTGTTGCTCTCTCTCTCTCTCTCTCTCTCATACACACACGTTTTTTAGGCCAAGGAAGATGAGTGTGGGTGTAATTTAAGAGTCTTATGTCAAATAAGCCATATAGGCTTGGTTAATGGAGATGAATTAAGTTTAGGTTAGGATGAATTATTTTATTCTAATTATTTAGTTCCGAATCAGATTTCAATTAAACCCACCATAAAGTTCTAAAAATTCTAAATAACACATAAATTTAGTCAATTTCGTAATCGGATGCCAATAAGGCCTTTCAATTCACATACTGAAACAGAAACACAAACAGATATTCCTACCATGAACAAATATAAACACAATTAACACCTAGCACATGTAATTAACTAAGAATTTCATCTTACTTACTGATTAAGCATTCTTGAGTAAGGTTTATTAGCTAATCACAAGTCAAGGTTATTACAAGCCAGGTCATAAAAATAAGGGTAAATTACACTGACACCCCCTGAGGTTTCTGTTTAATACAGATTCTTCCCTCACATTTGAAAAATTACACTTACCCTTGTCAGATTAAAATGACATATTTACCCCTTAATACAGATATTTTTGTTCATGTCATTTCAAGAGAAATATCAATCATCTTTTTTGGTTTGACTCACACAAAATTAATTTTTTATTTTTATTTTTCGTATTCTTTTATTTTTACTGATTTTTTTAATATTTTAAGCAATCTTTTTTATTTTTTAGATACACCTAATTTGGATATACTTAAGGAATATAATATTTTGTGATTTTTTTTTTAAATTCACCAAGTACAAAAAAAAATATAACAATTCAATACATTATCTTATTTTGTTATATTCAATGAATTTTTTTTTAATTTTTTCTACAAATTTTATACTTTTTAAATATATCTAGATTAAATTGATCAAATTTAGATATAATTGTGAAAATTAAAATGAAAAATTATATTCATATATTAAAATTTATACAAAAATAATATCATAAAAATGTTGTGATAGTAATATTGTTGTAAATATAAATCATATTTATGGATATTTTGTTTTAAAGTGAAAGGTCACCACTATTAAACTATATCATTGTGTTTGATATTTGTATATCATCACTCAATAAGAATATGCTTAGGTAGAATTTAATGATGGAAAATTGTACATGATGATAGGAAGAAGAATTGGTAGGAAAAAGGATAAGATGGTTATTTAGAAAATTTGAAGGCATGGCATCAGCAATCTAGAAAACAATTTGTAATGAGATTACAAACCTAAGGAAGGAGAATGTAATTTTTTTAAATGTGAGGAAAAATCTGTATTAAACAGGGTGTCAATGTAATTGACCCTAAAAATAAATAAATGAATAAAAATCGTCCTTTAAAATCAGTCTTTGTAGTAGGGGTGAAATCGATTCGGTTCAGCCATTTTTTTTTTTAATTTTTGAACTGAACCGGTTCAATTGGTTCTATACTTAGGATAACCGAATAGACCGAAATATGTATATAAACCGCACCAAACTGGTACATGCGGTTTGGTGCGGTTCAACCGATTGTTACGATTTTGGGCCTCTTTTGTGCTAGAAAAAAACACATCAGTAATTTGAAAAAAAATTAAAAATTAAAACAAGTTTGAAAAAAGAACCCCAAAATGCTAAATGCGATGTAGATTTGTGATGGATACCCTGTTCTGGAAATATATATATATATATAGAAAAGGGTTGCTGTAAAAAAATAATAAAAAGTTTGGAAAAAAGCCCCCAAAGTGCTAAATGCAATGTAGTTATTTGCGATGGATGATATCCATCCAATTCAAAACCAAAAAAAAAAAACAAAAACAAAAACAAAAGACATACAACAGTGAATATTAATTCAATCCAACGGTTCAAAATTCAGCAAAATCAATAGGTTTTCAAAAAGGTTTAAAAGATTAGGGTTTTCAAAAAGGTTCAAAAGATTAGGGTGTTCAAAATCAAAAATAGGGTTTTCAAAATAAAAAACAAGGACTTCAAAATTACCTTAATTTGGATTCGAAATTGCCACTGCAACAAGAAGATCATTGCAATGAGAGTGAAGACGAATGAGTGCGATAGATCGCCTGCGTCCGTGCTTCAGATGTAACGATGAAGAGTGCGACAGATCGTCATGGATGAGAGTAGTGATGAATGAGAAACCCTGAGGCTGTGAGAAGTTGAAGACAAGGAAAGAAGAGAGGAGAAAGAAAGAGATAGTGAAAGAGTGACTGTTTGTTTACCCACTATTGCGTCTATGTGAAAAAAGAGGGTTATTTTTATTATATAAGTGAGGCACATCAATGGCTGTGATTGTGCCACGTGGACAACTAAGGTGATTAGGGATATTTGGTCGGTGCGGTGCGGCGTGGTTCGACCCTATTTTCTGCAAAACTAAAACCGAAACCGAAAATTGCAAAAAATAAAAAATACTTCGACTGATTGTAGCTAGACAAAAAAAAAAAAAAAAAAAAAAAAAAAGAAAAAAAAAGTAGACTGAAAACTGTGCGGTTCAGTCAGTTCAATCGGTTAGTTCAGTCAATGCGGTTAATTTTTCACCCCTACTTTGTAGTAAACTTAAGTGTATGTGAGTGAAATCAATCTTACTTAGACATAAAGAATGTAACAATTTGAAAATTTAAATTGTTCCTTAAATTTTATATTAGAATTATGGTTGTATGTGATGATATATTATTAAAATAAAAATAAATAATAATAATAATAATAATAATAATAATAATAATAATAATAATAATAATAATAATGGGTGTAGTAGTAAAATAAATAATTAATTTTCTATTGGTATACTATAGAGTGTAATTTAATTAGGGATTAATTTATTTATATAGTTATATTAAAAAACTGAGTCAAAGTGTAATTATCTTTAAATATTTATTAAAGATAAGTATAAATCCATATAATTTATGAATCAAATCTGGGGAAAGATACGCGCTGGCCACGTGTTGGCCAGCTAATGTTCTTACCTCCCTATAAATAAGGAGGAGGTGATCATTGTGGGAAGAAAAGGAAAAAAAAGAGAGGAATGAGAAGGGAAAGAAACGAAGGAAAGGAAGAAAAAAAAATAATGGAAGCTGAGAGGGTCTTTGATAGTGGAAAGAATGAGTAAGGTTTTAAAGTTAAGGTGAGTTATATTATACCTTCAGTCACCATAATATATTTTATATATGTTTTGAGTTACCATAATTTATTTTATACAAATTATATTTTATAACTTATATTTATATTTTAATTATGTTGATTATTTTCTGAACCTTATTTGCTTAAAATGAATCTCATGGATATATTTGTTTAACTTTTAATGATTATTTGACAATAATTTTGTAAACAATTATATTTTGTAAGTACCACCACGGGAGTCTCACGCCTTGGGGGACTTAAATAACCATTGGTCTCTGTTTGGTCACTTTGTGGCTCTCTATTGTCATGGATCTATTGACCTTTGTTCTGTGTGGAGCAAAGTCCTGTGCAGAGATAAGTGCTATACTATTGTGGAAGCCACCTCTTGAATCTGTACCTCTATATTGTTATGAATCCATTGACTTCTGTTCTGACTGTCACTCATGTGACCTCTGTTCTGTTCTGTTCGGTACCGTGGTTATGATTATTTATTTACATAATCTCAGTTTTGCGACTTAATGATTAATTGTTCAGACTAAGTTATCTTAAATATTTTAGTTACATAACTATCCATGGTTATTTTGTCTCCCTCATACTCTTGGTATGATATTTCTCACTCTGTCATGTGCTTATAGCTGTTTACCAATTTTCAGGAAACAATGCAATTCAGAAATAGCTTTTGGAAAGTCTTAGACGCGGGGCTGCGGAATAGACACACGCAACACTTTTATGATATTTTTATATATAAATATCGGCATTTTGGTCAATAAATTTTGTAATAAAAATAGAAGCTCCGATGATTATTTTGGTACCCTCACTTAAATATTATTTCCGCTCGCGTTTATTTATTTGTTCAAGAATTGACCGGAGGTAACTTCAATTACTGGCCATCACGATGCTCAACTCTTGGGTACGGGGAGCGGGTCGTGACAAAGAATCATATTTTTAATCCTCGATTAAATTCTCAAAAAAAATAAAAATAAATTGTGAGTTTATAAGTGAGGGCATAACACAGGTGTTATCTCAATAATTCGAATAGTTCATATTTTAGATAATAACGTTTCGATCATTTATAAAAATAAAAAATAAAAAATTAGATCGAATTGATAATTGTAACTACAATAGTTTATTACATTTATTTATCAAAAGATAAATGGTCTAATTTTTAAATAATATTTATTGTTTATTTTTTTGTAAACAAATATCATAACTAATATGATTATAATTATCAGATTGACATGAATTTTTTTATAAATAATCTACACATTATAATTTAAAAAATAAACAGTTTGAATTATGGAGATGAAACTTATAATAGACTCCGGACTCTAACAATACGATCCAATACACGTCATGAACATGAGACAAGCTTAGCCTTTATAATATCACTGATATAGGGGATATCACTGTTGGAGCAATTAGTCTTGAAATCTTCAGTTGGTGGTCTTCGGATCCTTAAAACTTGGCAATGATCTTGTCTATGTAGAAGAGAAAATTGGTGTTTCAAGTCACATTACTTAGTCTTTTTCCTAAAGACAATATTTACACCCACAAATAGGTGTGCAGGAAGTTATAGCAAATTCGCCTCTAGGATTCAAAGGCTATGATCAAACTGCTTCAGATCAGATACACAACCGTTCGATCGATTGGTTGACTTATCACCAATGGATGCTATATCACTACCACGTGAAGCTGACTGTATTCCATGTCATCGCTTGTAGACATCCCATTTTTGATCGCCTTTAAGACTTGGGCGCCTCAGGTTGATCACTCGATGATGAAAGTTACGCTGTACAAACATTCGATTTCTTCAGCAAGAAGAGCTTCTAAATCCCAACCATACATCCCATTTTGACCAAAACTATTTTAGACCTTAAAACCCTCTCTTTCAAAATATTTTTGAAAATGTTTCTACGATGTTCTAAGGCTCGCATTTCATTAAAAATTGCACTTTTCGGTAAATCGAGTAAGGACAAAGTGGAAATAAATGGAAGAGAGGTGAATTCTTTGAAAATACTTTTAAACATCTTATTTAGAGGTTTGGAGTTGGAGAAAATTGGAGGGGAGGGAAAAAAACTAGTTGGGGAAGAAGTTAGGCATCAAACCGTTAACAGAGAACTGAGCAACTTTCACTAAATCAGGCCTATCTCTTTGTACACCTAGACTTTAGTTGTGAGGCCACCACCATTGGAAATTGGACTTCCGGGGCTTCAATTTACACTCAAGAATCTCCTAAACCCGAGTTCGGATGAGGGAGATACGGCCGTTTGAAGTTAGGCATCAATCCGATTAAGATAGAAATGAGTATCCTTCACTAAAATAGGCATATCTCTTGATACACTTATAATTTAGATGTGACGCTGCCACCATTGGAAAGTAGACTTTTGGAGCTTCAATTTAGACTCAAGAATGACCTGAAACCAAGTCCGGATGAAGGAGATATACCCATTTGAATCGGGTCTGGAAATAGATTTTTGTAGCCGGCAAGCCACCATTTGTGGCCGGTAATTCACACTTCTAGCCTGTCGGCCATTGGTGATATTTTTGGCCAGTTGTCCCCAAAAAGCTCCAGTTGTTCCAGACATGATATTTCCGACCTGTGAGGTTGTTTTTCTATATATAGGGGACCTTCCTTCTTGGTTTAAGGTTACAAAAAATTTCAAAACCTCAAATTCTTGAAATTCTCCCTCTATCTCTATCTTGCAACCTATACACTCTCTCTCTACACTTCCTAAACCAATATTGGAACTCTCCTTGTTAAGATTATTGAGTCTAAATTTCAACCATTGAGAGTGTAAGCTTTGTGGTTTGTGAACAAAAGAGTAACATTGCTTCAAGAGATATAATTTTGAGCATCTCTACACTACTTCTGTCCCATCTTTTCTTGCTGTTTTTGAACTATTTTTGGACTATTTTTATGGGCTGAACTTTATGGTTTAAGGTTATTAAAGGTAGAGGGGTTAACCACCATTCTTTAGACCTTCTCTCCGAAGCCTTTATACTTGTGTTTCCCATCTCTTCCTCAACTTTTTTTGAGCTTTTAAATACTGATTTTCAGAGCTTTTTTAGTGACTAAAATGTTGTTTTGAGGTCCAAAAATGGAGGGGCCTCCCCTCCTTGTGTCTTGTTTACTAGCTTACATAGCTCTATATTTTAGCTTACTCTTTTAGCTATTTTCACTTCAATTCCAGCATTGTTTTAGCTTCATTTAGAACTGTTTTGAGGTATTTATTTTATTTATGCTTTGTATAGTATGCTTGTAGTGTAATGGTCCTCATAGGTTTGGTGGTTTAGGCCTTAGCCACCAACCTATTTGAGTTGATAGTGTTTATTTCTTGCTTTGCAAACTTGTTTCATATGTAATCACCTCTGCAACTGTCATGACCCAAACCCGCCCCCATGGATTAAGGTCATAACCGGTCAGTAATCAAGAGATTACCTATGGCCTCGAACCAAAATGGATATATTTCAACAGAGTCAATAGGCCAAAATGGAAGCGAATTTAAAACTTTCGTCCATAGAGCTGTGCTTACGTGGCACATCATAACATTTTACATATATTCATTAATAACTCACATCAAAGGAAGTTAACATATAGCTTTACACAACAGAATCATTCAAGTCAAAGTCAGCCAACCCAAAAGCTTATATACAAAGGTGATCTAAAGTTTTCGCCAACATAGCAAAATATATTGAGAGGAAAAAAGGGCGAAAACAAGTCTCGTGCGTGAGACGTATGGGCTGACTCTTCAAAAGTTAGACTATTTCTCACATACTTCACTGGGGCTGGGTTTGGGCATCTCTTGGCTCACATACAAACACATGAATGAGAGTGAGCGGAAGCCCAGTGAATAATATCAAAAAAAGAAAATACATGAACGAAATTTGAAATGGAAGCATCGGACGGCCTTAGGCCCAGTTCATGTTTCTATCTAGTGTATCAAACGACTACAAATTCGAACGCGTCAAACGGCCTCAGGTCCAATTCATTCGTATCAAACGGTTTTTGGCCCATCCATTCATATCAAACGGCCTTTGCCCAATCATTCATGTCCGACGGCCTTTGGCCCAATCATTCGTGTCAAACGGCCTTTGGCCCAATCATTCATATCCAATGGCCTTTGGCC